TTATAGCTTCCTTACTGATCTCCTTGCCTCTAGTATATGTTTTTCCTTTTTGTCTAGAATGTGTTTCCAGAAAACTAATCACATGTCATATACCCACTCAGAGCCATCCAGTTAGCTCCCTTCTGTCTATAGGATATAAAGCCCAAACTCTGAGGCGTGGCATTTGAGGCTGAGTATGAACTGGCCTCCACCTTGTCAGTCCCACCACTGTACATACAGTGTATGTACACTGTACTCTCTAACCATTTGCCTAGATTTTTTTCTTTTAATGACTCTGAGCATATTGTCCACTTTGTCTAGAACACTGTCCCCTTGCTACACAGCTACTTCTCTGCATAGTAAACCCCCATTCATCCTGTGGGACTCATTGTAATATCACATTTAGTAGTTTTTCAAAGACCAGCCACTGTCACCTATCTTAAACCAACCAAGTTACTTTGGTTTTGGTTTCTTAAGGCACAGTACACATGCTTTTATTAAAGTAGGTTGTATTCACTTGTAATTATTTATTTACGTGTGTCTCTCCCTCCCCTATGCAGCTCCCCCAAGTTCCCCAAAGAGAACCGGTTTATCCACTGTATCTCCTTCATTTAGCTGTGGCTGGCACATTATAGACATTTGGTATGTTTGTTGAAAGAAAAAATGTGTTTGGAAAGCAACATATGATCCCAAATTCCTCTTATATTGTTTATTTTCCATTCTGAAAGAATTAGTGCCCTTGTCCTGAAAAGAGCATCCTTTCTACTCGTCTTTACTGTCCAGTATTTACTTTTAAAGCTCTGTCCTTATTTACAGATATATAGCCACTAACTTTATTTTTCATCTTCAGTAATTATTTTATCCATGTGTATGTAAATTGTTTTGATTCATTTTTTACTAAAAATTATAATAACTCAATCCAGAATATTTTTGTTTTTCATTTAAATTCATAAACATTTCTGAGGTGCCTGGGTGGCTCAGTCAGTTGAGTGTCTGACTCCTGATCTCAGCTCAGGTCTTGATCTCAGGGTCATGAGTTCAGGCCCCATGTTGGCTCCACAGTGAGCCTACTTTTAAAAAACAAATAAATAGTAAATAAATTTATAAACATTTTTGTAGAGAAATATGGTAGGAAAATCAACCATTAAAATATGTGTAAGCATGAAAATATATTACATTACAATAAAATTAAGTGGAATGGTAACAGAGGTCTAGGGAGAAAAAGATACAAATTTCTGACTTAGAGTTCTTCATTCTTTTTATTAATGGATGATAATAGCTGTCAAATTTCTATATTCATATTATATTGGATAGGTTTTTAAAAGACTGGTGTAACAGTATTTTTAAATATGCTGGAAATTATAACTTGAACTTAATGATAAATTCATATGTCAATTTAGAAATGTTTAAAGGGGTACTTAGTTTTTCTATCTAGTTTTGAAAAATCTCTGGGTGTTATGTAAGCATAAAATCTGAGGACAACTGACATATATTCTCAGGGTTCAGAAGTACACTTTAGTGTTCTTGTGCAGTCCCACACATAATTTAGATCAGGTATCAAACTAAATCACCCCAGAAATTTTTAACTTGTCCAAGTTGTAAGATTAATTTATCAATATGGGTATGATTGATTTAAAGTAGTAATCCTTCCTAGACTTAAGTGTCTCTAAGCTCCCACTCTTACAACTTAGTAAATCTTTCATGACAAAGATTTGGTTTCTCTCCAAGTGCTTCTGCATTAATTTTAGGCATCCAGCTCAGTTGCTGTGACAGTTTTGCTTACTTCGTCATGACTTCGAAATGTACTATCTATCAAAACCATTATCTCTGGGACAGATTACAAACTAAAGAAACTATGGGGAAAGAGGAAGCAGATTATTTTCCAATTACCCGGACCAAGAGCCTCAAAAAATGATTGACATTGAATTCTCTAAGCATTAAAAGTCCAGGTTCTATTAGTGTAAGAATTTTACTTCTGCAATTAAATGTTTTCTCTTAAAATATATCTTGATAAATGTAACATTTTAAAATCTGACATAGTAGTCCATTGTATGGCTATTCCATAATTTATTTAACCTTTGATATACTGCTGAACATTTTACTATTCAAAGCAGTGCTTTAATGAGCATTCTTATTCTTAGATCTTTGTACACTGGTGCATTGTTTTCTTTGGGGCTTATTACTAGGAGTAGAACATTTGGGTCAAAGAAAATGTGCATATTTTGCATCAATAGATAATACAAAATTGTTAATAGATACTCCAAAATATCCCTCTAAAAAATGTGTACCAAAAAACCCCACCCACCAACAGAAAATGCCCATTTCCCTATACCTTTTCTAACGCTGGATACTATCAGGCTTTTGACTTTTGTGCAAATTCAAAAAATATAACATGCACACCAAAATGACGTCACAGTGATTTTCACCTTCTTGAGTCCATGATTATTTTCCTACTTAAACTACAATACCCCCCTCAGCACTCCTAAATCCCTTTAAACTATTTTATATTCTATAGCACTTACTACCTTACAAAATTCTATTATTTCTCTCCCCTTACTCTAGAGTGTTAAGCTTCAAAAGGTTGTGGGTTTTATCTGTTTTGTTCACTAATGAACAGTGCTTTGCACATGATAGACACATATTTTTTAAGATTTTAAGTAATCTACACCCAACGGACTCAAACTCATAACCCTGAGATCAGGAGTTGCATGCTCTTCTGAGCCAGCCAGGCTCCCAGACACATTTATTGAACTGAATGACATGGCACTTGTAAGATAATATGAATTTCAGTCATGGTTGGTATGTTTCTTCTTTGACCCATATGTCCCTAATGTTGCATATATCTTACCTATCATAATAAGAAAGTACCCTTAGAAGCAACCACAACTCCTTAGGGCACATTACACCAGACAAAACGCCCAGGTTTGGCTATTAGCAGGCCACCAAGTAAAGGAAAGAAATGCTCCTTACTTCTGTGGATTCCCTGGGCAGTTGATTATCAAGACAATGTAGCCTTGCCAATGAGGGCCATCCTGCCACCACCTTGCTTATTTTAGCCCTTCCCTTCCTGTTTCTCTCCTGCCGATGCCTGGGGGGGGGGGGGGGAAGAGAGCCTAGGAACAATAACCAACCCTAGTAAAGCAGACACTCCACCCAGGCAAGTGACTGCCGGCTCTGATCTTCCCCACACCAGACCCAACCCACTCCCTACCAGGCCTTTGGCCCCACACCCTTTACAGTAACAATGGCAGCTTAGTGAAACAAGAGAGCTAAGGTTTGGTAGAGCACCAAGTTTCATTGTTTTCCTGGGGCCAGATTTTGGCTGTGAAAGAGATACGGAAGAGAGAGGGCAAAGGATAGTGACTGAGTTTTGAGAAGCTGCAGTTGCTATTCTATAAAACATTTAAGTATTCATCCACTGTTTTGCTAAGAAATTTGGTGATGCAAAAACTCTTAGCTACTGTGTTATTTCCTTCACATTTATCAACATCTGTAGTGTATATCCTCCCTTTTGGCAGCGTATCATGTCAGATGTGCACCAAATAAGGGCCTACTGAATATTTTCATTGTTTTACTTTGATGGAGACTTTATTATAGCTATATTCAGACTAATGAGGGATTTGCAATGCTATTAGCCTTCAACATAATCTGGGGGGGGGGAAGGGAAATGATTACTAGGTACCACTGGCAGGCCTAAGTAACAAGAAATGTGGCAGAAGAAATTGTGTGTTGTAAGGAAACTGCGTATTGCACTTATCTCAGATTCCAGTTAGTGATGAGTTGCTTTATTCGTGGTCCATTCCCTATTTCATTTTCACTCCCAAAAAGATCAGCCTAGGGGTAAATTTTGATGACAAAGTTCTGGAAAATGGATAGAGGTTCCTCAGGAACTTTAGATGTTCCAGAATAGGAATTTGAACAAGAAGCTTGGTGGATAGAGTAGGAAGATTTTATTACAAATGTCAAAGTGTGTAGAGTGGGAATAACTGAGACCAGAAGCAGCTTCACTTGATTATAACTAATTTGCAGTGGGTGGTAAAGACAGGCGCCATGCCAGCATCACCACTTTATAATAATAAATCTTTCTTCTCTGGTGATGTTGTGAAAGGCACGTGGTAAGGTTGCATCACTATGGTGAAATATCACAAAACAGGTGGGTCTGGAGAAGCATCTGTTTGGAAAAGGATCGTGCTACAAATTACAGCCCAGAACACCTTGAATATACAGCACAGCAGTAATCTGGAATGTTAACACTGGAAACAAATGTCATCAGCCAGCTGGTATATATGCTGGTATCTTAACAAAATACTGAAGATGAAGGTATTTGCTGGCACTTTAGCATATAGTATCCCTGTATTAGAGGAAAGTAGCAAACTGAAAGCAAACCTCTCACTTCTGTTCTTCAAGAGCCAGTTTCACCTGTTTGTGTTGCTTCCTTACAAATGTCAGCTGTGTAGCCAGTAACTGATCCTTAGGATGCTTTTTGTCATTACAGCAAAGGGATTTAAGTAGAAACCAGCTGTTAGCTATTGAGAAGTGGGAATGTTAGGAAATATTTACCTACTACCTCCCCTTTCTCCTACCTACCTGCCCTACCCCACACTTCCCAAATGGCAATTTTTTTATACCTCATCCACCATTTAGGGAGATGCTATCACTGAACCAAGTAGCCGCACATAAATGCTTTTGGTTTTCCTCAGCTGATATCTATTATGTAATTATGTCTAAAAAAATGAAGTCCTACCTAATTTTTCACAAGGGGAAAAAATTTAGAACATGTAGCCTTCCAAACTGACACCTCCACTGGTTAAAAAATGTTGACAAGGTCTAGATGCTTACACGAAGTCTCTCAACTTTGTTTCAATGAAAAGACCCACAAGATATTAATGGGAAAATTATGCAAGGATAGTTCATTTTCTATAGGAATTGTGTTTTTACTTCTTAAACTACAATGGAAATATTTCAAGCAATATGCATTGTTAATTCATTCTTGAATATTAATAACTGATTTCTCCTTGAAGGAAAAAACTTAGCTGTATCCAACAATTCAGATATGGCGGAAGTGAAGTCAATGTTTCGGGAAGTTCTTCCAAAACAAGGTATCTAAAACAAATACTTAGGTCACAGAATATTGTAGGGACCAAAATAAATAGTAGGCATGGCACATAGCAGGCTCAGTAGCCAAACATCTGTAACTATTTTGTGTCCTGTATGCCACATTTACTGTCCACTTTTACTATGTTTCTTTTAGTAGATTATAAAGAACTCATCCATTGCTTTTTTCCCCAGTAAAAAGATGACAAATGAAGCACTGTTTCTTAAACCTAGAAATCCCATTATACTCAAATTTGCAGATTAAAATATGAAATTTTCAGTGAAAAAATAGTAATTCACTAATGTTAAGGTCTGAAAGTGGGGAGAAAGAAACCTAAGTCAAGCAATTGTTAAAGGCTGATGGTTTAAGTTAAACATTCATGTTAATGAATATTCATTATTAATACCATACTTTTTCATATGCACTATGTATTTCTCCCAAATCTTTTTGCAGACTAGACATCTGATACAAAATGTTCTGTGTCTCATAGGTAGCTTAGAATCTTAGGTAGGAAGTTCAAAATGTCATCCTTATGAACTCCCTAGAATTAAATGTTGATATATTAGAAATAACTGAAAACAAAAGTTTTCATTGACAGTGGATTAAGTCTTTTAGACCTTCATTCTAGCTGCAAATCCAAACCACCATACAACTGGGCCATCTCACTAAATTCTTTCTTTTTAAACTTAGGGCAGTTGTCAGTGGAAGATATAACCACAATGGTGCTGTGTAAACCCAAACTTTTGCCCTTAAAATCTCTGACTCTGGAAAAACTGGAGAAAATGCAGCAAGCAGCCCAGGATACGATTCGCCAACAAGAAATGGCAGAAAAGGAACAACAGCAAATAACTCACTGAATGGTAACTTTGCAGTTCTACAGAATACCCTGCCTTACTATTAACAATAGCTAGACAATAACTTGCATCTGTATACTGAAGATGGTGTGTTAATAAAACTGATAGTGCTTATAAAATAAAAATACCCAAAACTAATGAAACCTGTGAATTTAGACACACTCTGGTTTGTATTGAACATGAGCAATTAAAAAACTGAACCCAAATTTTATTGTTCTTTTTTACCCAAGTCTTTAGAACTATAAATTACTGTTTCACCATTCCTATTACTGTTAAGACTCACAGATAACATTCTTAGGCACAAGTGACTAAATGCAACTTTTATATTCAGATAATCTTTACATGTTTATTAAAAACTGAACTTGAAGGTACATTCTAATCTCGTACAAAGCGTTTTGGGGCTTTTACATTATTATCTAATTTTAAAACTTGTTTATGAATTTTGTGTTTCATATTTAAGGCTATTTTGCCTGACCAACTGGTCCTACCAGTAATGACAAGACTGTATTTCTCAAACAAATATGATTTTTAAGAAACCTTCACTTATCAAGTAGTCCCCTGAGCTTTTAATGATACTGACTTTAAGGACTAAAGAATTGCCGGGCTACCTTTATCATCCAGGTATCAAACACAATTAAAACCCTAAAAATAGAAAAAAAATATGGACTTGAAGGAGCCCATGAGATAAATATGAACATTAAATTTGGGGTTTTAGTTCTAAGAGACTCCCTAAACCTGTAATGGGCATATTCCTAAGAATATGTTTGTTAATCTGAATATAATTCTTGGCTGGTTGCTATAATCAATAATAGACTATTTAAATTAGCATAGGCCTTGCTGAGTAATTAGGTTCTGCAAAAGAGGTCAGAAATGTGATCATTCTTTAGAGAACTATTATTAAACTAATAAGAACGGAACTATTATTTATTGGTAGCTACTATTTCTCAGACACTGGATAAATGTAAAAACTTTTTGAGTCTCTGAAGAGTAACTTTGTAACACAAACATTAGCTGGTAACAGAACTTAAGAATGATGAAACGTATTGTATTTTTAAAATAAAATGAGCTTTAGAGAAGATCAAAAAACATGTATACATTTCCCACAGATAATATTAAAAGAATTTACTACTGTACTTTTAAGTTTGCAAAGAACAAAATTTAAATTCACTAGGTTCAAATATGCTCCCTTATAGGATTTAAAATTTGCTGTGTAAAATAAGTTTTTAAAAAACCTAAATATATGTACTCCCAATAAAGAATCAACACTGCTTCACATGTTTTATTTTGTCATACATTCTTTTAGAACCGGGTTCATTTTTCCAGTTTTGTAGAAAAATAGATGTTCCAGCCACCATTTATTTAACTGTCTAGTCTTTAAGACCAATCAATATGTTCCCTGGAAAAATGAATAAGTCTTATGACTAACTCATTTTCTTAAAATTCTTCAAGACAAAGAAATAACTTTTTTTTTTTTTTTACTCCCAAAGCACAGTATTCCAACAGCAGCAGCCAACATGGGGTTTTAGCAGCTTAACTTTACCCCCTAAATAAAGCTTTGTATAAACCAGTGATTTTACTACAAAAACACTGTCTTTGAAAGAAAGGAGTGGCAGTCAGACATCAATGCAAAACTTGGAATGATTAGGTCATAAACATGGCACTTACAAAAGGTAGCTTATGAGAATATTCCACTTAAGAAGTGGTTACTCTTCTGTCCCTCCTTAACACCCTCAAAAGAAAAAAAAGAAAAAGATAAAAAGAAAAAAACACGTCCTTTAAAAATTCCCCTTAAATTTTAAGTTTATAAAATTTCAGAAACGCCTTGTACCCAAAAAACAAGTGCTTCAAAAAAAAAAAACAAAAAACCTGTGCTAACAACTCTTACAATTCAGATATATTTATATATTTTTTTATAACATCTAAGACTGTAAGAGTTCTTATATTCAGTAGCTCTCTGGTTTAAGACGACCTCCATCTCCTTCACTTACAAAACGTTTTCTGCCCCTGTAATGAAAAGAACACAAGCATGAAAATGGATACCAATTCTGACTACAGATCAAAACCAAAAAAACCCTTGGGTTCTTTTGGTTAGTCATTAGGTATTGAAGGGTTTTATTGTTTAAAAAAAAAAAGTGAGCATACCTCTAATTCTTTTGAGACTCTTTCCCTGCTACATATCCTACGATATTAACAAATCAAATGAACTGCTAATCTAGGCAGTTTTTAGTTAAATAAAAGCTTAATTATTAAAATAAGTTCATTGACTAAATGGAGTCATGTTAAAAAATTAAAATATAAAGCAAACATGCTATTTAGAATTTTAATATTTACTCCTACTATGTAGTACTAGTATTTGAAAACTAAACAGTGAGGCAAAGAAACACCAACATGACTTGGAATTATGCAAACTAGAGCTACAGAACCTATGAAAATACCCATGTTTAAAAAATTTTTTTAGTTTTTCCTCAAATGTAGAAAAGCCATTAACTTGTACTTGCAAAAACAAATCAGAATCCAATTAATTGCAGTCTCTGCCCCATTTTGGAATTCCTACTATTTCAAACTCAAGAGCCCTTGCTTCATAATGTAACCACACTTATACTGTATATGTAGCTATACACAGTAGCCAACAACCCAGGAGAAATAGTTGACCAGCAGCCTAAAGCAGAGTGGAAAACAGAGTTTGCTCAGGATTAGCCCTCATTCTCTGACCATAAACCAACATGCACAAGCATTCAAGACCACATACAAATGTGCACTTCACCCAAATAAGCTAATGGGTAGAGGATAAAAAATCACAATTCTACGGCAAACAAAGAACATTTAGGTATCTCCTCAACTGATCGTTAGAGTAAAGCCACAATAGAAATGACCAGTTAAGACTTCTGAACAGAAGCTGAAAAGTAAAAAGCTAGTGCCAAGGTGTTGACCCCTTTTCATACTAAGTCTAAGTGGAAATCAGCTACATTTTCCTGCACATAAAGGCTTCAGATTAGAGACTGAGATGGGGAACAAAGCAGTAAGTATCAAGAACCTTACCAAAGCTGACAGTATTTAGTGATGTGTACCACTTGGCACATAAATGATGCCATCACCAAGCAGAGATCTCTCTCTATATATATTTTTAGAGATCTATATTTTAAAACATTTTTATCAAAGCCATTAAACTCTATCTTCTTCCTTCTCTCTGAATGGCTTCTAAACTTTCTAGAGGAAAAGACACTACTAGGAACTATTTTTTCTAAGACTTAATTCTCACAATCAACTTCAATAAAAATAGACAAAGCTTTGCAATTTTGAGATTAAAAATCACAAAAACTTAAAATGCACATAAAGCAGACATACACCATACTCAAGTTTAGCTATTACTAACATTTATACCTATGTATAAACTTCATTATAAGCTTTATTTTAACCACAAAAAAAACTCAGCAACTCCTAAAGAGTTAGATTCTAGTAGCACAAATATATCATCTCCAAGGAATCACACACATCCACTTTCCAATGAGGTAAGATCCAGTTAGCCTTAATTCTCCATCCCATGAAGGAGAAAAAGGAAGTCACATGGAGTACAGGAATGAGCATAGATCTTTGAAGCCAGGAAAGGTCTGGATTCATCCTTGGCCTCTACCATGTGTGACCTTAGGAAAGGTATACTACACTTCCTTAAACTTCAATTTTCTCCTCTTACTGGTGATAATATCTATTCTGAAATAATATTTCAAGTACTTAGAACAGAGCCTGGTACACAGAACTACTACACAAAGTTAGTTTCCTTCCAGTGAACAAGGGCTTCATGAAGTAGCCCTGTATAGATTTACAAGGGGGCAAAATAAGCTTTGCCCTTGTTTTTACATAAATTCAAAACAGATGATTTTCACTCGAGAGGCTTTAGGGGAGATGTTATTTTTCTGACAGAATTCCAGAATTTTTCTGGAATGACAGAAAATGAGCTTAGCCTTCCCAAGCACTCAGCCAGTATCTTATGTGAAAAAAGTAATAAAGTACCTTGAAGGACAAAGATCTCTGAGTTGTTTGGAAATTATTCCAGCCTGAAAACATTCTTCTACAAATCGCTCAAGCACAGAGTATGAATGTGGGACATCCAGATTAATGTCTGGAATTTCATTGTAAATTCTCTCATAACCCTAAAACAATAAAATTATATACAGAATGTTAGCCCATATGAAATACATAATGCCATACAACCCATCACTGTCATCAAGCTACATTTAAGGCCTTAACTGTTCATAAAATTAGAATGAAGTCAGATCTGATCCTTGAAAAGTATTAACAGCAGGTATATTTGTCATAGAATGTCTTCTTTAAAATTGTTCTCTCAAAAGAGTTTAGGTAGACATCCAGACATTGGACACATTTCTTCACCAACTACTTCATATACATTTACTACACTTTTAAAAAATATAAGGGAAGTAAGAACCTCCCCAATATTTTAAATAGGAATAAATTAAATACTTTAAAGTATATTTGTTAAAAGATCATATTCATGTTTGTTTCTAGATATAAAATAGAAACTATCATATCTTTAAAAGCAGAACTCTTGAGGAAGAACAATCACATCTTAAAAAAACCCACTAAAGTGTTACTTTTAAGAAATGGCTACAAGAGGTCAAACAATCACAACCATTAAAAAAACAAACAACTGGGCGCCTGGGTGGCTCAGATGGTTAAGCATCTGCCTTCGGCTCAGGTCATGATCCCCGGGTCCTGGGATCAAGTCCCACATCGGGCTCCCTGCTCCTTGGGAGCCTGCTTCTCCCTCTGCCTCTCTCTCTCTCTCTCTCTCTCTCTCTCTCTCTCTCTCTCTGTCTCTCATGAATAAATAAATAAAAATCTTTAAAAAAAAAAAAAAAAACAACTACAGGCACAATACTATTAAATATACCTAAAAGAACATTTCACTGATAATTCATAATCTTTATTCAATCATTATACATTTAAGGTATGAGCCTAAAATTGTTCAAAATAATGTTATACTTACTCTTTTCATTTGGTCTAGAGTAATGGTAGAAGATTTCCAAAGAGATTTTAATAAATCCAAAATCATCTTAAATGTACTTTCTCCAGTTGACTCTAAAACCATTACAATGGCCTAAAAATTGAATGAATGAATGAACAAATGTTTGGTCATTAATTCATATAAAGAAACTGCTCCTAAAATGTATCAGATTCCTTTTGTCTGATATGTAATTATAATCATCATAAAAATTTAAAAACAACATACTCCCTTAACATTAAAATTAAAAAAAAAAGATGTATGCTATTAAAGAAGCATGAAGTCACTGTGGTACAAAAAGGAACACTTAATAATTCTCTTTGGAATGCCAAAGTAATCAAGTAACCTTACTTCATATACAAGCTCATGGTGAAAATGAGGTACTTCCAGTTCCTTGAGGCAATGTTCAGCTTCAGATATGTCTCCAGAGAGTAAATACTCTTTCAGCAGCATATCAATCTATTAAATTTAAAAATTGAGATATGTTAGAATTCCTAGTTTTTATTTTTTATTTCTTAAAGATTTTATTCATTCATTTTTAGAGAAAGAGAGTGCACACGTGCACACGAGTAAGAGGGAGAACGATTCTGAGGCAGACTCCACACCAACCAAGCACAGAGCCGAGGTGGGGCTCCATCCCACAACTGCCAGACCAGGACCTGAGCCAAAACCAAGAGTCTGACGCTCAACTGACTGAGCAACCAAGGCGCCCCTAGAATTCCTAACTTAAAAGAAAAAAGAAAAAAAAACCTGCTTTTTGCCCATAGGATTTACTTACTCTCAAAGCAGGTCACAAACAGCTATGTAAGAACATACAGACTTGACACCACACTATCACAACAAATATTTTTTCATAATTAAAAAGTAAACCCCCGGGCGCCTGGGTGGCTCAGTTGGTTAAGCGACTGCCTTCGGCTCAGGTCATGATCCTGGAGTCCCAGGATCGAGTCCCGCATCGGGCTCCCTGCTCAGCAGGGAGTCTGCTTCTCCCTCTGACCCTCCCCCCTCTCATGCTCTCTCTCTCTCTCATTCTCTCTCTCAAATAAAATTAAAAAAAAGTAAACCCCCAATTTTTAAGTGGTTCATAATTATAAAGAAAATGCAGTGCTTCAGTGTGTCTTAATAATCACTGAGATCTAGGAGTAGACTTAAGATGTACATGGCCTGAGTTGTGACCATAATGCTTCAATGTTCACTGTAAAACAAGGAATTTTAAAGACCACTAGAGGGCACTGACTGAAAGTCTCAAGATATATTTTAATAAGGTGTCACAAACTTTCACTTCCATCAGGATGACCTTAATAATAGTGCACTGGCAGCCAAAAAAATGAGTGATGATAACAGAGCAAAATATCCATATACTTTCTCTTTTCTCTACAGCTAAGGATTTGAAACCAATTATCTAAGATGTTCATCAGTAATTCAGCTTCTAGTTGTAGCTAAAGAGGCAAGACCTGACTTTCTTGTTCAAATACAATAACCTCTATGGCTCCAGAGAAAAGGAGGAAAAAGTTTTCCAGCATAAAAACTTCAACAAGAATGTTATTCCTAATACACTGCCTGTTAAAATCACCTTTGCACCTAGTACACACTCAATGAATGTTGGCTGAATGAAGTAAATAATCTCATTTAAGTATCTTTGACTTCAACTTCTGCAATGCATTTTCATGAAAGGTAAAGTAAAATTTATCAGTAGAATACATCCTAATGAGTAATTCCTATTATCCTGCTTTAGGAAGGTAAATATTTAAAGCATGGCACTTGAATAACATGTTTTTACTTTATAATTGTAAATTAATACATTTTATTATTTAAATTATATCATTTAGAGTTTTTTAACTTTGTTATGCAACTTTAAGTATTTAAATGTTTCCCATTAGGTTCCATGCATTTTTTTGAGAATGATAAATTATAAATACATGTATACATTTCTAAAAGTCTTTGTCTAACTCATCCCTCCATGCAAAAAGAAATGAATATCCAAATAATGTGAACCTTAAACTCATATTGGTAGTTTTATTTCAATTTTTATCTTTGTACTATTTTTATCTTTTATACTATTTTTTGACTGAGATCATTCACATAAAATAGTTTGACAGTTTCTCAAAATACTAATTTTAGGGGAGTATTACCATCTTTTTTTTTAAGTTTTTTTTTTTTTGTAATCTCTACACGGAACGTGAGGCTCAGACTCACAACCCTGAGATCAAGAGTCACAAGCTCCTCCAACTGAGAAAGCCAAAGGCCCTGAGTATTACCACCTTAACAATATTACGTCTTCCAATCCATAAATGTAGGATATCTGGGTATCTTTCTATTTATTTAGGTCTTAATTTATTTCAACAATGTTTTGCAGCTGTTGGTATATAAGAATTACACTTCTTTTGTTAAATTTATTCCCAAATATTTTAATATTTTTTATTCTATTGTAAAAGAAACTGTTTCCTAATTTCACTTCAAAACATTCATTGCTAGTGTACAGAACTAGAACTGAATATTGTATATTGATCTTATATCGTACAACCCTGCTGAATTCATTTATTAATTGACAGTTTGGTTTTTGTTTTTTTGTACATTCATTCATATTTTCTATATGCAGATCTTGTCATCTGGGAATAAAGTTAAGTTTTACTTCTTCCTTTCCCACTGGGATGCCTTTTATGTCATAATCTTGCCAAAATGCCCTGGTATCTTGACTGTGTTTATACCCAATCTTCCCAACAACTTGAAAAATTTTTTAAAACCAGATGTTGCAATCATGACATTACAAACACCAAGTTATCTAACTTTAAGATATATAAAAGCAAACTGGTCAAAATCTATACTTTCAGCTCCTTAACCCCCAAACTAAGTACACATATCACTAAAAGATTAAATATCGAAACTATAGTCGCATGAAAAGATTATACTCAAAAATCAGAAGCACATGAGCTATATAAATCTTCTAATTTTCTTAACAATCCGCAAATAAGATTAAATACTTTTTCTGGTTTCCTGTTATACAGCATTACTTTACTGCCAGAAAGAAAGATCCATAGAAAATAAATCTGGCATTTTAATGCAAAAATCAATCATTTTTACTTTTAAAGCATGCATACAGGTAGCAAACTTCCTTATAAAAATCTATCACTCTGATCTACTCTAGTGTTCATAATTCATAACTTATGATCTCAGAGTATCCAGTTTCAAATTACTCATTTAAAAATGTATTTACTGAGTAACTATAAAATAGAAAGTCTTACTTTGACAGTATTTGAAAAATTTTAAACACCAATATAAGAAAAGACTTCAGGCATTCCTTTGAGGTTCAAATACAGCCCTCTATGAAAAAAGGCCCTTTTAACTTAACTCAGTCTTATTTTTAAGTCAGGGAAACCATAAAAATTTAGTAAAAATTAAATAATTCTTGTATAATTTATAGCAGTAGGGTATAAAGCCAAATATACAAAGGTTATCCAATTTTCCATGTGTAGCTTTAAGACTGAACCTAATTTTTGTCTGCAGAAATACCAGCTAAAGGGCATAGTTTACTTCCCTAGAGAAATACATGTAAATTAAGTTAAAGACAATACCCAGTAGTTACCTCTTTAACAAGGTGATTAACAGACTGCTGCCCACCTCCAGAACCCCACACACTGTCTTTGCGCTTTCCACCTTTAGACATACTCAGGAGCACAGTAGCCTTGTCCAGAGCAGCTCTACCAAAAAAAAATAAATAACAACAATAAATAATTTTGGCAACTTGGACATGCTTGAGGCTGACCTAAAAGCTTTCATGTAACCTAAAAGCAACCTAAAATTCAAAAGTCTTTTAAAAAACTACTTTTTAAAATAAAAAGTTGGGAACAAAAAAAAAAGTTTCTTTTCACGTTAATGTTCTCATACTCTCTTCTTTTTTCAGTCAACAAAAATCTAACCTTATTACAAATTAATCATCTGAGGAGAAACATTTTGTGTAAAACTTAACTTTTACATAGATCTATGCCTTCCCACCAGGGCAACCATTCCACTCGGATCTGAGAAGTCCGAGAAAATTAAGTTAACATCTACACCTGAGAAAACCTAACACATGGCTAAGACCAAATCTAAGTTTCCACAAAGTTATAAAAATCACACAGGATGACTCCCAAATATTACGTTTAGCCTAAAATTATACCAAAGAACAAGAGTGGAAAACATTATTTCCTAATACTACTGTAGCAGATAAATATAAAATAAAATTGAAAATGTGGCTCCTTTGTTAAAACTGTCCATCTTACTAGAATATTAAATAATTACAGAATGTAAAAACTTGAACAGACCTTAAATATTCTCAGTCCAATCGTTCCATTTTATAAATAAGGAAACTGAGGCCCAGGGAAGAGTGGTTTGACATAAAGGTAGCTAGGTTTAGCTAATCCCAAACTTCTACATTATAGTACTGTCCTCTTCCTGTTATATCATGTCAACAATCTCTCAATTTTGTTTTAGCAGTGAAGAATGCACACAAATGACAAACACAATGTCTGATTAATCCAAATGTCATTTCAATAAAATCCTGTAGAATTTTCCCCTCTTTTGAAATTCTAAGTAGAAAAATTAATTTACTTACCTAGCCTGTACACAATCTACAGTTCCTTTGTAACTATCAATATAGGTATTACATAAAATTCCATCTCCAACAGCTCTAGCAATAAACTGGCCCACCAACTACAATAAGAAAAAAAAAAAAAGCTATATAAAAAAATCTAAAACCTTTATAGGACACAATTTCTAAATGCATAAATGATGAAGACTGGCTGAACTACACAGTCAATATCCAAGATATACTGGAATATTCAAAGACATCTATTTAGCACCTGCTAGTTATGCTCAGCATTCTCTCCCACAACTCACCCCTCAACATCTCTGCACACTGCCTGAAACATAGTATATCATCAAAATTGTTAAGCCAATGGCCTAAATTTAAGAGAACAAACAAAAAAATGGGACTAGGTTTTCTCAAAAACTGATTAAAAGAATTTACTGTATGGAGAAAACTTGGTGTAGAAATTTCTGTCTGAAAGTATATTCATAGCATTACTTCTTTTTGTTGTTGTTCTTGTTAAAGTAGGCTCCATACCCAATGTGGGGCTTGAACTCATGACCCTGAGACCAAGAGTCACATGTGTTCCACAGACTAAACCAGCCAGGCACTCCTTTTCATAGCATTATTTCTTATAAAAATTGGAAACGACTTTAGTGTCTAACAATAAAGGTGTGGTTAAATGATACATAAGATGGTACATTATGTGGCCATTAGGAAATACGTTTACCACATTTTATGGTGTAAGAAAAATTAAGTTTATAAAATAGCATATACAGTATAATTCCATTTTCTTTAAAACAAAAAAATGCAAGGATATATAAAAACCATACATTGATATATACCCACAAAAAGTAAAATAGATTTAACACCAAAATGTTAACTGGTTATTTTTGCTGGCCTTGCTTCCTTTTGACCTTTATTTTTCAAAAATTCCATTATATGAATTTATGTAATCATTTTTTTAATATGAGTACTGCTATAAAAAGAAAAAAAAAGGGGCGCCTGGGTGGCTCAGTTGGTTGGGTGACTGCCTTCGGCTCAGGTCATGATCCTGGAGTCCCGGAATCAAGTCCCACATCGGGCTCCCTACTCAACGGGGAGTCTGCTTCTCCCTCTGACCCTCTTCCCTCTCGTGCTCCCTATCTCTCATTCTCTCTCTCTCAAATAAATAAAGTCAAAAAAAATAAATAAAAAGCTTTAAAAAAAAAAAAGTCCACATCTGAATCATTGCTCAATACCTTACACAGACTACTGTCTGATATAGAAAAGTATAACAGAAACAGCACTTAGGAATTAACCTACCTATTCCTATTCCTAAATTAATGTTTAAGTAAAATGCTCCTACCTTGATTTAAAACTTTGGTTAAGTAAATAGCAACAATTTCACACATTTTCAATTTCAAACCAGAAAGTCACATTATAGTATCAGCATGTATTAAATCTAATAAAAGTATAAGGCTTTGAGGACAGAATCTAAATAGAAACATAAATTCATAATTTTCTAATTATTTTCCCAAAGCTACAAAAGGGTACAGACTTATTATTTTTATAATAAACATCAGTCAAGCCAAATCAATCTTCAATTTTAACAATCTACATATTTTTGAAATCCTAGCTCATACAATGGCTTAACCACATGTAACAGAAAATATACAGACAGCAAAAAAAAAAAAAAAAAATGACCTACAAACTATACAGAGCATGGGTGGAAAAGCAGGATATAAAATTATAGTATGATGAAAACTATATTAGAAAAAGAAAAGAACAGCTAAACAAAAATACACTAAAATGTCAGAGGACTATTTTTGTGTGGTAAAAAATATGGGTCATTTTGTCCTCTTTATCTACTAAAATTTCCTAGGAGCAGGTATTATTTCTATAATTTGAAGTGTAATGGGGGAGAGAATGAATAAAAAGAAGAGTCATACAAACCTGTGGTGCTCTAGGAGTATCCAATGCCAATTCAGGTAGATCTTTCAATAATTTGTCAAATGATTTTTCTACATCATTTGTGCTCATTACTGTCCCACAAAGGTCAGAAAGAAGCTTAGATGTCATTTCTCTATGACTAGCCTTTCCCTCCAATGCCAAGGACACTGCCAACACTGGTACTCCACTTTTCATTTCACCAAGATTTAAATCTCTCAGCATTTCCTATTAAAAAAAAAAAAAAACTAACTGAAAAGTATATGTCACTGCTTTTAATTCAATATAATTTTATTTTTGAAAATTCAGCATTTTATCCATATATCCTTACCTTTTCCCCTTTGGAAATAATCAGAAAAGCAGTCAATTTTGTAGGATAAGATAAATACATCTTTCTGTACATCTAAATTAGATACTGATCCACTTTGTCAAGCTTTTACTATCTGAACATCACTAAACTCAAGAATGTGAATTACAGGGGCGCCTGGGTGGCTCAGTTGGTTAAGTGACTGCCTTCCGCTCAGGTCATGATCCTGGAGTCCCAGGATCGAGTCCCGCATCGGGCTCCCCGCTCAGCGGGGAGTCTGCTTCTCCCTCTGACTCTCCCCCCTCTCATGTGCTCTCTCTCACTCTCTCAAATAAAAATAAAAATCTTAAAAAAAAAAAAAGAATGTGAATTACACCTAAAACAGGATTAAACTATATATTCCTAGTAAGTTTGGTGTTAGGAATTATTTAATCCTGTGTCTTATAATTTTTTTTTATGTAAGTAACCTCTATACCTGACATGGGGCTCAAACTCATGATCTCAAGATCAATAGTCACATACCCTTCCAACTGAGCCAGTCAGGCGCTCCTCATTTCTAGGAATATTCTATGAATATTTGTGGTGAGACTCATTTTACATTATCGTTTTATATATATATATATATATATATATATATATATATATATATATATATATATAATCTACTTTTCCTCAAAGTTTTCTCTTCACACTAAAGCTTACTTTATACTATTCATATAAAGTTTAAAAGGAGATCTTAAAGTATTGTTTTTAAGTGGAATTATTTCTTTAAATGCTGGGATTAAGTTAAAATTTCCTATTAAAAATGTAATAGCAGCTGCTAATACTAACTACTGTATATAATGTATCAAGCATTGTAACAGCCACTTTAGTTTCTATTATCTTATTTAAGACTCAAAACAACCCTTTTCAGGGAGGTATTGTCATCATACCCAAAGCAATGAAAAGTGAAGTATTTGCTGAGGACATATAACTGGAGTGGCCAAGTTGGAAGTGGAACACAGGCAGTATGACCCTACAAGCTATTTAGAGGGTCTTCCTTTTTACTTATAGTTCTCAGAGTATTTAAACCATGTTATACTACTAAAAGGGTGCCAAAACTATTGTCACAGCCACCTAACTGGTGTCCTGGACTGGGCTTGAACAACTAACTCACTGCTTTTAAACATGATACTTCTCCTTTCTGGGAAACTCTTCAACCGTCTTACCCTGACAAACTTCTTATCATTCTTACATAGCTCAGAATCATCTTTTCTATTACTCTCCATTTTATGCTTCCATAACACTCTGCTTATAGTACTACTCAGTTAATAAATACATAGTATACCTCTAGTCCCATGCTAGGTAGATAGGATTTCAATAGCTTACCCTTACAGGACTAAACTCTTCCTCTAAAATAGAAGGCTTCACATTATATATATCACGACTGAGCTTCATAAGGGCAGGAATCACCTATTACAAATTCCTTCACATGGTATGCACTGAAAAAATATTTGTTTTATATTTAAATCCTACAAATCTAAGGATGTCAGACCTCATGGTATCAGACAAACCAAGAAAGCCCAGTCTGAAGTATAAGAGCGTAAATTATAAAAGCCTTTCAAAGAGTTGCAATTAAAAAAAATAAAATAAAAAATAAAAAGAGTTGCAATTTTAGTACTTTAAGTCCAAAATCCTAGTTAGGTAGTTTTATTTTACCTTTTTAGATTTACTTTATGAACAATTCATAACACAGGAAATGTTTCAAAACACATGCAAATTATGTTTCAAAAACACATTTATTCTTGGGGCGCCTGGGTGGCTCAGTTGGTTAAGCGACTGCCTTCGGCTCAGGTCATGATCCTGGAGTCCCGGAATTGAGTCCCGCATGGGGCTCCCTGCTCAGCAGGGAGTTTGCTTCTCCCTCTGACCCTCCCCCCTCTCATGCTCTCTCTCTCTCTCTCACTCTCTCTCTCAAATAAATAAATAAAATCTTAAAAAAAAAAAACACATTTACTCTCTTGGTTTCTGTTTACATTCTTATTCAAATCTTTGTATCTTTGTGTTCTTTTTCTTTTGGGCAGAATACAAAGATAAATTTTATCTTAATCCTGAGCATTGAAATAAATGTCAAAAAAGAACTAAATCAGTCATTTTTAACCGAGATCCCTGAAGAGGTTTGAGAAGATCCACAGATGCTGGAAATTGTTATTATTTTATACACTATCAATTACAAAAATATATAATTGCAAAAATTATTAAAATATTACTGTGCCATTTTTCAGGGAAAGAAATGGCATATAGCCCTCATCACATCCCAAATAGGAAAGAACTAATCTATATTACGGAAATTTTACTCCATCATAGAAATTCATTTATGCAAAAGAAAATGCTTAAACTTATTCAGTGATCCAAGATCATTTTGGATATGATGTTCTGCTTTTAATAGTGTTTTCTTTACTATATTAAATAAATCATACTTGCAATTTTAAACCTACCGCAACTTCATTAGTATCTCCATGCTCAAAATATTCCTGTATGATTGGTGTTAAAGTCTTCTCAAATGCTGTTTCATCCAAAGGCAAAACTACAGTTTCATAAACACAGTTCTCCTAGGAGGGAAAGGAGGTGAAAGAGTTATAAATTAATGAACAAAATATTCATATAAACTGAAATCTGTTTTGTTTCTTACTTTATTTTTTTTTCATGTTCTTAGAAATATTTCCATGTCCAACAATTAGCTAAAATAGATAAGTATATACAAACAATATGGAATAAAAACAATCTAACATATACCCTGGTAATTTCCCGTCTAAAATTCTCATCACCATGAATTATCTCATGCAAAGACAGTACTTTAAAAAAGATGTGACAGGGGCGCCTGGGTGTCTCAGTCATTAAGCGTCTGCCTTTGACTCAGGTCACGATCCCAGGCTCCTGGGATCAAGCCCCCGCATTGGGCTCCCTGCTCAGCGGGGAGCCTGCTTCTCCCACTCCCCCTGCTTGTGTTCCCTCTCTCGTTGTGTCTCTGTCAAATAAATAAATAAAATCTTTAAAAAAAAAAAAAAAGTTGTCATAATGTCTGGGGTTTGTTTCAAAATAATCCAGAGCATGGAGGTGTGCGGTGCATGCAGGGGAATACAAGAGGAAAAATAAATGGAGGTACAGGATAAAACAAGACTGACCATGAGTTATTAATTACTGAAGTTGGTAAAGCCGGGAGACAAGTACAAGCATGTTCGTTACACTATCCTACTTCTGTATAAGTTAGAAATTTTCCATTAAAAAATAAATATATATATATGTTCATTATAAAATCTATTAAAAATTTACATGCTCATGGATGGACCTAAGTGAAATAAGACTGAGGAAGACAAATACTACATGACTTCACTCTTATGTGGAATCTAAAACAAAAACAAATAAAAAAAGAATCAGACCTGTAAACACAGAGAACAAACTGACAGTTACCAGAGGGGAGGGGCAAGATTGGTGAAGGGGAGTAGGAGATACAGGCTTCCAGTTATGGAATGAGTAAGTCATGGGAATAAAAGGCACAGCAAAAGAAGAAAAACAAAATTTACATTCTCAACACTGAAAAAAGATAGTCATGTTCCCAAAATAAAATTTACCATAGAATTACCAACCTGAACAGTAATATTTTAAAAGGAACCGAGTATCTATAACTCTTTTATGATGTTCAAAAGAATATATATTCTTCTCAATTATCATTACTATAGAAACCATATTAACTCAACAGAATTTATTGAAAAATAGTCAACTTGGGGGTGCCTGGGTGGCTCAGTTGGTTAAGCATCTGACTCGGTTTCAGCTCAGGTCATGATGTGATGGGTCTTGAGTTCAAGCCCCACAGTGGGCTTCACACTCAGCAGGGAGCCTGCTTGAAGATTCTCTCCCTATGCTCCTCTCCCAATCTCTCTCTCACATAAATTTTTTTTTTTTAAATAGTCAACTTGGGGCACCTCAGTGGCTCAGTCCATTAAGTGTCTGCCTTCGGCTGAGGTCATGATCCCAGGGGTCTGGGATTGAGACCACATTGGGCTCCCTGATCAGCAGGGAGTCTGCTTCTCCCTCTGCGCCTCGCCCCACCTCAAATAAATAAATCTTAAAAAAAAATCAACTCAATAATCCTAAGTAAATCTGTAAAGACCTACTTTTAACTCACTTCAGAAATGAAGTGAAACTACACATATATCATTATCAGTTCATTTGGTTTCCTAATCCAAAATTTACCTAAAAGTCCAAAAGGACTGAGTACCTGTATGATTTAGATACAGATACTAATGTATACACACACACACACACACACACACACACACACACACACACTACAAATCACACATATGTGATCTGACAGCACAGAGTGTAGATAAAGAATGTTATGAGTAAACTACAGACATGAAGTCAAAAAACTTACTAGCGTTTTAAACATAAGATTAAAAAAATAAAGTAAAACACTGATACCTGGTCGTCGTCATAGTTAGGATCTTTCACATCCACCTCCTCCACATCATATACCTGTCCAGGTGTACCCCAGACACCTTTGCCTCCTGCACCACCTGAAGAAGTTTAGAATTGAGAAAGAACACAAAGTTCATAGTTCATAGATTTTAACTGAAATCTGAAATAATTCTAGATATTCAGACATTAAGTAACAGTTAAAAAACTGCATTTTAATTTCTATGCCAGTTTTTTTCTCCAGTTGAATTATACTTTAAACCTTTTTTCTTGGATCACTGCTTCTTCAGTAATGATTAGATATTATATATTTTATAACCTATTTCTAAAACATCAAGTTGAAATAGCTTATAAAGTTAAAACTAAAAAGGCAGATGCTTTAAAATGAGAGCAAAAACAAAACAAAAAAAGATCAGAAAACTAGGTATATCAGGGACCCCAAAAGTGTGATAATGTAGCTGAGCTCTAAATTTTATTTGATATTTCATAAGACCAAAACAAAAAGACGTATGTTGAGCCAATAAGATGTGGCATAGGAAACTCAGTAAGGGTGAAATCACTTAACAAAGAAGCACAGTTTCCACTGTAAGTGTTTCAAAGTCAAATACTCTTTAAATATAATAGTAAACATTAAACTATACTTGACAACTGGCAATATGTTACGAATAACTAAGCTATTTAAGCACTAACTGCACTGATCATTATTTCTCTGTATTTCTATTCACAAACTAACCAGATGAAGTTTAACAATCCCAACTTTCAAACTAGTTTTTCTACATAAATTTATTGAAATATTTTTATAACACTTAATAGATTACATTATTTTTAAGGAACTTTTCAGTATCACCAACTTTTTTTGAGATTTTATATCAAGACTAGAGTAAAACAGAATCTGATTATTAGGATTCATTTTGATCTAACCAATGGTTGTAGAGCCATTCAACAAGAACAACAGTTTTTGACCAATCAAAAAAACATTTTACAAGAATCCTAGGCTATAAATTGAAGTTCACACCATTCAGAAGCTGTGAAATCTCCAAATTATATCAAAACCCTACCACAGACCAAAGCTAACATCCTTCATCAACAAATACTTATCTACAACTGCTAGTCACTACTCCAGGCACTGGACATAGCAGTGAAAAAATGGACCATTCCTAGGGTACCTCAGTTAAGTGTCTGCCTTCGGCTCAGGTCATGATCCCAGGGTCCTAGGATGGAGCCCGTGTCCCGCTCCTCACTGAGCAGGGAGTCTGCTAGAGGATTCTCTCTCTCCCTCTCCCCCTGCCCCTCCCCATACTCATGCTCTTTCTCTCAAAATAAATAAAATCTTAAAAAAAAAAAAATAGGTCATTCCACTCCAGTATCCACAAGAGAACTGAAGAGAACTCGGGGGGGGCGCGGGGGAGTCTCACTGGCTCACTTGGTAGAGCATGCAACTCTTGATCTCGGGGTTGTTAAGTTCGAGCCCCATGTTAGGTATAGAGATTACTTAAAAAATAAAATCTTTTAATAAATTAAATTGAATGAATGAAAAGGAAGAACAAACGAATGAACTCGGAACCAGATCTACGAAATCATTAAAATTCTGATCCACTTATTACCAATCTAATTTATATTTATCCTATATTCTTAACCAAGGACATAATTACATTCATTAAATAGGTATGATTAATTGTTTTTAACTTTTATTTATTAAGTAATCTCTACCTGCAATGTGGAGCTCAAACTCATGACCCCGAGATCAAGACTGACATACTCCACTGACTGAGGCAGCCAAGTCCCCCAGGTATGATGATTTTCTGACCCCACTTTCAAGCAAAGTTAGTGAATACATGCACAATTCATAACTGTACAAAAAAAATCCATGTGTATTTTGCTGAAAAAAATAAAGTTCTGCTCAAGAAAACAACCTCCTCCAGAAAAAAAGTTCAACTTAAAAAAAAAGTGGGATGCTCCCCAGATTATTACTTTGTAAAAACATACATAAACCATAAAATCTTACATTATCATTGTTTAAATTTCTTGACTTCCTAGAACAAGGAAACCATGGTTTAAGTATCAGGTCATATTGTTTTCTATTTGTTTCTTTGGACATGGAATATACCAACCTTTCTTTGGTAGTCCCCTTCCTTTCCCAGATCTGGATCTCCTATCTAGCAACCTTCCCTTTGGACTGGTTGGTACAGTTACTCCACTTCTAAGGGCTTCACTTCCATTATCACTGACTGAATCGCCTCTGCCAGAGTCCCGGGATGAGTTTTTCCTCAGGCGCCTTTTTGCCTTGGCATTAATTCTAGCTTCGTTAATGGAGGATGCCGAAATCCAATTTCCATTTATCTCATTTTTTATTTCTTCAGTCCCAGCATTTTCTTCATCACCAGAAAAGAGAGAGTCGCTTAAATTATCAGGATCTTAAAAAGGAAAATGAAGAAAGAAAATACTACGTAAGTACTTTAATCATCCACTGTTACACCAGTTATCATCCTAAGTTATATTAGGTTGAATCACATGAAATTACTGTTTTTTAGGTAACAGTCACATATTGGCAATTTCATATGATTTGATCTAATAAATGACAACTAAACAGGATTACTTTTCACATTATCACGGAAAGTAAACTAAGTGAATTTTGGTCAGCAGAGTTTAATGAAAGCATATTATATGTTCAGAAAATAAAATCTATGTTAATATACAACCACACATAAAACCTTTAGACTTTTGTGAGCTAAGAGAGTTAAGCAATTGGAGATAGTAAGAAAATACTAAGAATCTTGAGAGAAGAAAGATAAACTATTATTTACAGAATGCCTACTAGCACTGTGCTGGATGTTTTGTCATTTACCCACAAGTTTGAGAGCTATTTATTACATACAGGATCATTAATACAGATAAGGAAACTAAGGTTGAGAGTGTTTAAATAACTTCCCAAACAACTCATGATTAATTACACTTAGGAAATATTACTAATCCAAAGAGCCTGAAAGATATTTGGCAAATAAATGATCTGTTGAGGATTCATTGCTTTCAAAGGTAAAGCTTTGGGGCGGGGGGGAGCTTGCTTTCAAAGCTCTAATTCACCTCTCCAAACTTGACTTGTATCACGTATCATCTTCTGACAATCTTCCAGGCTACATAAAATTTATACATTATTCCTTGAAAGACAGCAACATATTTGGAGTTTCAATGGTCCCGTTGAGAATGTCATCCCCACTGCTCTTTTCACTTACCAAAATCCTTTAGGATATACTCGAGTTTTATTTCCTCCATAAAAACTTCCCTAACAATTCTAGCCACAATAACCCTAATGCCCACACGCCATTCATTTACATCACGGAAACCACTTTATTTCTAATTTATGTAGCAGTCTTGCTTTTCCAAGTAAGTCATAAGCCTCAAAAGAGGAACCATGCCTTTACCTGTACTTCTCTGTACTCAGCACCTAACAGAGTATCCTTCATACTATCAACTCAAATATCTGTGGAGATCAATGGCATGGAGACAGTTGGCTTTGCTCTGAAAATTTTCTAAGTCAGTGAACTACTGATTAGTTACCCTTGAGCCAGAGTTCTGTTCATTATGGCTAACTCAAGTCAGAGTTGAATCCCTCAAATGGTTTTACATTTCCTAAATGTAATTAGACTGTGTCAAGTCCATGTGTATAGGTTTTAACATGTTTTAAGATAATATGTTGAAACTGAAAATTTTTTAAATGAACATATAAAAAACAAATGTGTTGAAATCTTTATAATTCTTGACAAAAAGTATAAATGTTAAGAACATTCTGGTAATCAAAAAACAAACATAACAGTAAGTAGAGTCCAATTACATCATTAGTTTCCTAGTCTCTGTGCCTTCAATCTTCAAACCATATCCAAACTGCATGAAAACTGATTTTCTAAAACATGCCCCCACTGAAAACTCTTTGAAGATATTCCCACTGGGTCAAAATAAAGTTTAAACTCATTACCTTGTAACTTAAGATCCTTCATAATCTTGCCCCTGCTTACATCATCAGAGTAATCGCTGACCATTCCCACATTCAAATGGTCAGAGCTTAAACTTGGTATCACAGGTAGTGATGGGGGGATTAGTTTAGCAGAGAAATACAGAATATATTAGGAAAAAAAGAAAGTATAAAATGGAAGACCAGCAGAGAAAATGTTACAATAATCCATTCACTAACTAACTGAAAAGATCAAGGGTAATAACTTTGGGGTAAATAAGAAAGTGACGCTCAAAGAAAAAATAAGGAGCTTTTAAACAGAAAAAGCATGAAATGTAGTCTTAAAAAAGTTTTTAGACTAAGACAGGGAAGTTAGAGTTAGAGGGTGAGTTTGAGACATCATCACAACCACCATCATAACTAAACGACTGCAACTACTGGTAGCAGTAGTAGTCACAGCAGTAGTGCAACTTCTTTTGTCATTACCCTCATCGTTGTTACTACTAGATACCAGGTTCTATGCTAGGCACTTTACATACATGCTCTATAATCTTCACGAAGCTCTATTATGAAGCTGTTTATCTTCAATTTACAGACAGAAGATGTTTCATAGAAAAGTTACGTATCTAAAAAGGATTGTGGCCAGGATTCAAATCCACATTTAAATCTCAGATGATTCTAACTGCAGAAAATACAGAGCTAGAGTACAGCAGAGTAGTGACAGCTAAAGAGACAGGACAAGTGAGTGATTATAAAGACAGAAAAGCAGAAGAGTTAAGAGGAAGGAGAAAAAAAGACCAGAGATCAGACAAGTTAGATGGAATTTCAAGTAAGAGCAGGCTGTTGAAGAAAACATGAAACATATTGCTTTCATTTTTCTATAATTACGGAAAACCACTAAACTCATCCAGAAGATAAAGGACATCAAATTACAATTAAATGTCACTTTAACAATATTTTTCTTTTTTTTTGTTTTGTCTTTTTTTTCAATTTTATTTATTTATCTGAGAGAAAGAGAATGAGAGATAGAGAGCACGAGAGGGAAGAGGGTGAGGGAGAAGCAGATTCCCCGCTGAGCAGGGAGTCCGATGTGGGACTCGATCCCGGGACTCCAGGATCATGACCTGAGCAGAAGGCAGTCGTTTAACCAACTGAGCCACCCAGGCGCCCCAAAATGTCACTTTAAACTGTCACTTGGAGTACTAAAGTATTCAATTTCAACATATTTCCCACAATTTTCATCTATTTTAATATCCTTTCAAATATGTTCATATGACTGCAGCAGAACACATCTAGGTATATTTTATCTATTAGCTTATTTTTAACCCATGTTTCTATCAATTACTTTTTTGTATTTTGCTATTCATACTTTAGTTTTTTTTTTGTTGTTTTTTTTTTTTTAAGATTTATTTGAGGGCTCCTGGGTGGCTCAGTTGGTTAAGCAACTGCCTTTGGCTCAGGTCATGATCCTGGAGTCCTGGGACCAAGTCCCGCATCGGGCTTCCTGCTCAGCGGCGAGTCTGCTTCTCCCTCTGACCCTCTCCCCTCATGCTCTCTATCTCATTCTCTCTCTCAAATAAATAAATAAATAAATAAAATCTTTAAAAAAAAAAAAAGATTTATTTGAGAGAGAAAGTGTACACACGAGCAGGGGGTGCAGGATGGAAAGGGAGAGAAATCCTCAAGCAGACTCCCCACTAGCATGGAGCCCAATGCAGGGCTCAATCCCAGGACCCTGAGATCTCCTGAACTGAAATCAAAAAGTTGGCCACTTAACCGACTGAGCCATGTAGGTGCCCCATATTTACCTAGGTTTTAGGGTTCCATAACCACTACTGATCTGACTTTAAGAAAACCAAAATACAAAAGATAAAAAACCTGAGTACATAATGTGGTGACTTCAAAATTGTTTTCCACTGTGTACTAATTCCCCTTCTAAATCCTCTGGTATCTCAGTAGTAACCAATCTAACTTACAGTATTACAGAAGCCAACAATCAAAATTTTTTTTTTTTAAGATTTTATTTATTTGAGAGACAGAGAATGAGAGAGAGCACAAGAGGGGAGAGGGTCAGAGGGAGAAGCAGACACCCCGTTGAGCAGGGAGCCCGATGTGGGACTCAATCCAGGGACTCCAGGATCATGACCTGAGCCGAAGGCAGTCGCCCAACCAACTGAGCCACCCAGGCGCCCAACAATCAAGTTTTCAATTAATGGTCCACTGATTGGCATAATTAGAATTAACAATATTAACACATTTCATTTGTTACATACAAAATATGTGCTATGGGCATGACACATATACACTATAATTTCATTTAATCCTAACAATAAACCTACAGAGAGGGCATTTGTACCCCAGTTTTATACACGAGAAAACTGAAAGTCAGAACAAATAACCTACTTCCCCAAAGTAACAGACTAATACAATAGTCTGACTTGGGACTATCTGCTACAGGAAGAATTTACAGCAAAGGTCTGTCTTAGGCCCATCCAAGTATTAAAGAACTACAAGTCCTTTATACTAAGGTAGTTCTGGTCAGGTATCAAGAAGAGGGTTCAAAGAACTAGGACTTGTTATAGACAGAAAACAAAATATATAAAAACTTAAGAGTCGTGCCGTCTCACAGACATATAATGCAGGTCAAATATGTAATTTTAAATTTCCTAGTATCCATATTAAAAAGAAACAGGTGAAATTAATTTTAATATATTTTATTTAATATACTAGATGTTATAGACTTTGAACAGAGAGTCAATATAAAAAGTTATTGAGGTCTTTCACATGTATCATATGACCTCACTGATATGAGGAATTCATCTCAGGAAACAAACTGAGGGTTGCTGGAGTGGTGGGGGGTGGGAGGGATGGGGTGGCTGGGTGATATACATTGGGGAGGGTATGTGCTATGGTGAGCACTGTGAATTGTAGAAGACTGATGAATCACGGATCTGTACTTCTGAAGCAAATAATACATTATATGTTAAAAAAAAAAAAAAAGAAAAAGATAGCAGGAGGGGAAGAATGAAGGGGGGGAAATCAGAGGGGGAGACGAACCATGAGAGACTATGGACTCTGAGAAACAAACTGAGGGTTCTAGAGGGGAGGGGGTGGGGGGATGGGTTAGCCTGGTGATGGGTATTAAAGAGGGCACGTTCTGCGTGGAGCACTGGGTGTTATGCACAAACCATGAATCATGGAACACTACATCAAGAACGAATGATGTAATGTATGGTGATTAACATAACATAATAAAAAAAAAGTGCAATGAAAAAAAAAGGGGGGAAGTTATTGAGGTCTTTCATTCATACTAAGTTTTAAAATCTGGAATGTGTTTGCCCCTACAGTTCATCTCAATTCAGACAAGTCACATTTCAAGTGCTCAATAGCCACATGTGGCTAGTAGCTATCATACTGGGCAGTGCAGAAAAGCAGCAATTATTTATATGTGAAATATATTCTTAAAAATATACTCTTACCATCCCCACTTCAATGAAGCAGGAATATGATGCCCATTTATAACCCTAAAAACAAGTATTCACATAGCTATTGTATATAGCAGCACCAAAATAATCAATTACTGCAATAATTTTTCCAACTCTAATCTTCTAGCACACTTTAAATCAGGCTTATAAATACAAAATGGCAAGAGGTTTCAACTTCAAACTGTCTGTTCAGATCAAAGAAAACTATATAATTTGTACATAATGAATTATTCATTGAAAAAATAATACTATAGTATTAAAAAATGAAGTATGATAAATATATTTAAATTACAAAACAGTGATCTTTTCAATACTAATAAAATTATAAAGCAAAGAATTATCTAAAATATACCAATAGGAAAAGCTCTCACCATTCAGAATATCGCAAAATCCTAATTAAGATTATTGTGAAAGTTATAAACACATTTTAAGTTGTCTGAAGTTACTCAACATTTAAACCTCTATTCCACAAAACCATTTTTATGATAATGTGCTATTGAAGCATCATGGAAAATCAAGAAAAATACCATAGGTAATATAATATATAAATTATTAATTAGGAAAGAGATCAAAGATACCAATAATAGTTTATATTATAGAAATGACTACCTCATTTGAAAATATTAATGAACAGGTTCACTATTCTTCTCCATTCTGTTAAATACAGTTTATTATAAATAGTAGAGAATAAGAATGTATGGAATGTGAAAGGATAGGCAGAAAAATAAGGACATGTGAAGAATTTCTATAAAAAGAATAAAACTGGGTGACTCCGGTTAAGCGTCTGCCTTCGGCTCAGGTCATGATCCCAGTCAGGCTCCCTGTTCAGCAGGGAGTCAGCTTCTCTTCCTCTGCCCCTCCCCCCAGCTTGTTCTCTCTCTCTCTCTCTCTCTCTCTCTCAAATAAATATTAAAAAAAAATCACAAACTTGATTTTAAAAATATAACTCACTTTCTTGTAGTATGAATAAGATGGTTTTTAAAGTAAAGATGGTTTTAATACTATGTTTTCTAAAATTTTGTAGGACCTCAAACATGCTCACAATACAGTCAAGGTTGAAAATATTCTTACTTACCTGTGGGGTTTACATTCAGTATTTGCTCATTTTCTATATCCATTGTTCCTTAATGTCACTTGCACTGATTAAATTACCAATGGAAGTCTTCCCTTGGAATCTGTTTCCTTAAAAAGAAAAAAGTTTCAGTATCTTCCAAACTGACAAATTGAATTTAATCACTGTAAAAAAAAAATCAGCACATAATTTCATTTTTCAAAAAAGAGCTCTCTTCACTTTGAAAAAGTTTGCCACTATTAACATTTAGTTTCAATCTTCCTGACAAATATATCTGGGTCCAAAAAAAAAAAAAAAAAAAAAAACCCCATGTTTCTGAATGTGCCAAAGCACCCCTTTAACTTGGAAGTAAAAGATGTATAAACATATACATGTTTATTTCAAATTAAAGCAGTATATACATACTCCAAATTTTTTAGGACTACCAGGACTCATAATTAATCTGATGTACATAATACTGGATAGTTCACTACCAATGAATTGTAAGAACTACTACAAAATGGGGTGTCTGGGCGGCTCAGTCGTTAAGCGTCTGCCTTCAGCTCAGGTCATGATCCCAGGGTCCTGGGATTGAGTCCCACATCGGGCTCCCTGCTCAGCGGGAAGCCTGCTTCTCCCTCTCCCACTCCCCCTGCTTGTGTTCCCGCTCTCGCTGTGTCTCTGTCAAATAAATAAATAAGATCTTTAAAAAAAAAAAAAAAAAGTACTACAAAATGCAAGCAACAGTTTTGATCAAGCATATCACATGACTTAATTTTTCACACTACAACGTATCTGAAGGCAGACAGGTCTGCCATTTCACCACCTAGGTGTCCATAATTAGTTATAAGACTTTGAGACTGGGAGAAATTTTTATAAATGGTGTTTTCTACAATGAGAGTATTATTTTCATAATCTGAAAAACCCATTCTTTTTTTAATTTTTAAAAAATTTTTTAAAGATTTTATATTTAAGTAATCTCTACAGGGGCGCCTGGGTGGCTCAGTCGTTAAGCATCTGCCTTCGGCTCAGGTCATGGTCCCAGAGTCCCGGGATCGAGCCCCGCGTCGGGCTCCCTGCTCGGCGGGAGGCCTGCTTCTCCCTCTCCCACTCCCCCTGCTTGTGTTCCCTCTCTCGCTGTCTCTGTCAATAAATTAACAAAATCTTTAAAAAAAAAAAAAAAAGTAATCTCTACACCCAATATGGGGCTCAAATTTACAACCCTGAGATCAGGAGTTGCATCCTCTATAGACTCAGCCAGCCAGGTGCCTCCCCATTCTCTCAAAAAAATAAAACAAACAAACAAAGCCCTTGCCTTTAAAAAAGAAATAAGTACAATGGCATTAGCATCTCCGTATTATAGACCTCAGTTTCAAAATGGCTTAAAAATTATTAATGCTGAAGGTCTTGATGAAATCTTATTTAACTTAGTGATATAAATCTAACGTTACTTGAAAGACTATCAAAATATATTTTGATGAAAACTATTACCAGAAGGTATAACCAAATGATTTTAGAATCTCTCTGTAAATATTTTTAAAATAGTTTTACAGTACTTAAGCATTCATCTGTTCAAGTCATACAGGTTAGATATAAGCCCTCCCAATCACAATCATTTCACTAGCAGTGTGCTTTCAAGATATAAAATGAAGGGCGCCTGGGTGGCTCAGTTGGTTAAGCGACTGCCTTCGGCTCAGGTCATGATCCTGGAGTCCCTGGATCAAGTCCCGCATCGGGCTCCCTGCTCAGCAGGGAGTCTGCGTCTCCCTCTGACCCTCCCCCCATCTCGTGCTTTCTCTCTCATTCTCTCTCTCAAATAAATAAATAAAATCATAAAAAAGATATAAAATGAATAAATTAATGAAAATTTAATCATAATATATATGATGCCTCCTGGGACTCAACTTTTTTTTTTTAAGTAAACTCTACGCCCAATGTGGGGCTCCAACTCATGACTAGGAGATTGAGTCACATGCTCCACAGACTGAGCCAGCCAGGTGCCCCTCAACTTTTAAATTCCTTAATATAAACTATTTTAACATCTTAAAAGTTTGTAGTCCTTTGATCCAGAAAAGGGTATTATTTTGTAAAACAAAAATAAACACACCTTAATGCTACAATGATAAACTTAATATGGCATAACCCTTAGGCTACCAGGATGCTATCATACCACTTAAGAAAATAAGAAAATGGTGAGACCACTCTCCAATTCTACTAATAAACAGACTTAAGTGATTCTATATAATGATTTTTCAATATCATAATTTCCACCAACTCTGGATTTAGGGGAGAAAAAATGACCCTTAAAGATATGTATATAGAAATTCATATAAATATATAAACAAAAATGTTTACAAACCTAAGCATTTAGTGTTCTCCATGTCTGAAAATGCCGTATCTGTTTCATTTTACATGAGTTACATGTTACAGGAAAGTGAAAATGTCTTATGGATGTGTATGAGCTTTTTAAACTAGAGTTACATTAAAAAGTCTTTTTCATACTTGATGCAAGTAGAATCTTTTGAGAATACTTTCTGCAGGACCTAGCTACTAAAGGAAATGAATTATAACTGATGTTTATAAAGCCTTTTATAATTCAGAGAATTTTACAGGCATTATTTCATGTACCTCTCAGAACAACCTTGAGCTATTTACTCCACTTTACACACAACTGAACAAATTCAGAGAAGGTAGGTGATCTGTCCAAAGAGAGACAGCAGAGACAGCAGCTCAATGGAAGAACCAGAACCCAGACCTTCTCAATCCAGGACTGCTTGCACAAGTTCAAGCCAAGATTTTAATATCCCACAAGAAGATTCTTTTTTTGGGCTAACAGAAGCTTATTAAAACACAGACTCTTGTATCAAATCTTTAAATACTACTTTCCAAACACCAAAAATAATATTTATTTTAAACTATTACACAAAAGACATTCATTTGGGCAAAGAAAATTATTAGGTATGACTATCATCTATAACTTACCATATTTGGTTTTTTTTTAAGATTTTATTTATTTATTCATGAGAGACAGAGAGAGGCACAGGAAGAAGCAGGCTCCCAAGGAGCAGGGAGCACGATGCGGGACTCGAACCCAGGTCATGACCTGAGCCGAAGGAAGACGCTTAACCATCTGAGTCACGCAGGCACCCTACCATATTTGTTTTTATTAAGTAATCCTAACTAGGGGGAAAAAAAAAGCCTCGTGTCTTTAGGCAATGATAACGCAATCAAGAACTCAGTCACACTTGATAGGAACACAGACATTTTAAGAATTTAGAGAAAGATAAAAAAAAAAAGAATTTAGAGAAAGATAAAGCTACAATGCATGTTTTTCCTCCCTTCAAAGTAGTGGAGCTTTTTTCCAGTTTACTTAACAATCCGTAAGATTTTTGCCCCAAACTTAGCAAAAACAAAGCAAAAACTCTAAACGCCACATCCTTAAAACTAAACAATAAAATTAATTTTCAATAAGAAAGCAAAAGTATACACAGAAGTTTGACAAAATTAAGGCTAACATTAAAGCTTTCATTTCTTCAATGTGTTTTACAGAAACATACAATCAGAAGTATTCAAATGTCATGACATTCCCCCAGGAGATAGAGCCTCACCTTCCCACCCTCCACCCCCCCCCCAAAAAAAACCTGTTTCCTGAAATATACCTCATAAACCACTCTGAGTTTCTGGAGTCAAGTTTAGACCATATGTTAACCAGAAAATTATTTGTATTCATTCCAGAGCTCCAATCACAGCTCATTAGCAACTTAAAATAAAATCAGCTAAAAGTATTCAACCACAATGATGCAAAAGCAAGCAGTACAGAAAATATCAAAGTGTCATTTATTTTCGCACTCCCAGCAACTATTTTTCCTTTCTCATGAGTACAACAGAAGAACCAATCAAAATATAACTCCAAGATCCCTGCTGAGATAGTTAAGGAATTTAAGAAACCTACAATGAAGGAAGGTTAAGGACATAAATACCAATAATTAAATTTAGAACGCATCTGCAGTGCTCCCCTTTTAGAAAAGTATACGGTGGTTTCTAAAAAAAAAAATTACATTAGTAAGAATGCCAAAATTCTAAAACTTAGAGAAGTAAAAATACAAGTAAAAACAGGCGGTGACTTTTTTTTTTTTCTCCCCACACGACGCTGCATTTTTGGTCGTTTTAATCACTGCAGATACTGCACAGTTGCTGGTTACATAGCCAGTTCTCACAAGGGCACGGGAGACGGGAGATACTGACTTCTGCAGACAGTTTTCGAAGCTCTGGGGGGAGGGGGGACACACGACCCCTCTTCATGTACACTGCAGCACCAAACTGACGAATGCCGCAGAAACGGCCGGCCTGCGTTTCACAGAAAGAGGGCTCCCTTCCTGTCTTTGTTTTCTCTGGGAGATTTTCACTTAAGACTAAAAAAGCGACCCTTCGCCCGAAGTCCGCGCAGGGCCGGGGAGGCGGGCAAGTGTCCGCCTCCGAGCGGCCCCTCCCGCAGCGGCGGGCCTCCCTCTCCGCAGCGGGCGCAGGCCGGGACCCCGCGGGCCCCAGTCCAGGCCGGCCCCGGGGGAGGCTGGGCCGGAGCGGCCGGGCCTGGGCTCCCGAGCGCGGGCCGAGGTCTGGGAACGCCGGGCCGGGGCCCACCAGGGAGGCCACGGGGGCGGGGAGGGCGCGGACCTTCCTCACAGGATTTCAGTCAGGCCAGAAACACGCCTCCCAACGTCCCCCCTCAAAGTAAAAATGAAAACTCGGCCTTCGCGGGGATGAGGAGCAGCCCCTCGCTGGCTAGCGCCCCGCACACCCGGCTAAGCGGGGAGAGGGTCCGGGAGGGGGCGGGCCGGCGCCGCCGCGCTCCGGGGCCCGCCCTCCGCAGCCCGGGGCGTTGGGGCGGCCGCGGCCCTGCTTGCGGGGCTTGGAGGAAGAAGTCGGGACCCCCGCCCACCCGACCTGGCCCCGACCCGGCCGCGGCCTCAGGCCCTCTACCCGCCCCCCCCCACAACGTGCGGCGGCCTCCGAGGAGAGACGGGGCTGAGGGAGAGAGCGCAGTCGTTCCAAGCGTGCGAGCCGCCTCACTGGTACTGACCCCTCGGGCCGCCGCCGCCGCCGCCGCCGCCGCCGCCGCTCACCCACGTCCCTAGTCCGCCGGCCCAGACCCCGCACCTCAGCTTCCACCGCCGCCTCAGAGCGCCTCTGCCCCCTCTCGCTCTGTTTGTTTTTGTTTTGTTCTACCCAGTAACACGGGGGCGAGAGAGCGGCGTTTATTGGCCGAAGCGAGGAGGTCCGCTGGCCAATCGTGATGGTGGAGCGGGAGCTGAGAAGGAAAAAGGGAGGGAAGTGAAACGTGGAAAGCTGGGCAGGGGCGCCAAGGGGCGCATGCGCGTCGGGCTCCGGGAACTGGCGGGAGTGAGAGCCGGGCGGGAAGCTGGGGGCGGGAGCCTGGGAGGCGCGGCAGGATACAAGCGTAGGCGATAGGGCAGTGCCTTGGGGTGAGGACCAGGCTGAGGCTGCCTTGATCTCACTCATTCCTCTCCCAGGGCAGTCAGCAGTCCCAGCTAAATGCTGAGCTTCTGGAGGGTCCCTGCCTCCATTTCCAGACGCTTCTCAGGCGAATACCCTTAATCTCTACGGTTACTCCTCCCGCGGGTCTTCTTCACTCGGCTCCTACTCTGTACACTAAGAACTTTATCTCAGTGAATGCCCTCATCCCTTGAAGATAGAAATCACTCCCATTTCACAGATGAGGAAACAAACGCTCAAAAACTCTTTGAAGTCCCTGTGCTAATCGTGGCTAGTTAGGCTCCTGGGATTCAAACTCCCACAGTCCCACTCCAAGACTGGGGTTCTCAATCATGGCTATAACTTCTTTATTGAAACCTGTACCCCGGTACCCCGCCTGGCTGTTGTTGGTGTCTTTCCTCCTTGGCTGCATTCTCTTTGGCTTATCTCCCTTCCCTATCCCCGGAGGAAATGACCAGAACCTTCTGCTGCCTGTGCTCTCAGGAAAGGATTCAGCCATTATCTCTGGTCAGATTTTCCGATTGTCTGACGTGCAACACCTGAATTGTCTGTTAGTCTTTCAGCAGCCAAACTGCTTCCTCCGCCACCAGGGAGCTCCTTCCCCTGACTTAGCCCTTTCTGCCCAGTCACCCTGCCTGAGAGTCATCTCTAATGGTATTATTTCTCTGAACAACAACAACAACAACAAACACCCTTTCAGGAGCCTCCCATTGCCTGCCTGGAGCGTCAGCACCTCAGCCAGGCATTCAAGGCCCCCCAGTGTGACTCTCTGGCCTGACTTTCAAGACTTTCTGGCCATGTCTGCACAACCTCCCAGTCCACACACCCCTTTGGCTGGAACCCACTTGGACCTCTCACTGTTTCATATGCGTCCCCACCTCCTGAGGGTTATCATATCACCTTGAAATGCCTCTCTTAACCCCCATCTCTGCCTGGTACAATCCTGTCCGTGCTTCATGGCTCTCCCGCGCAGGCTTTCTTGAGCCTCCTGACTCGATGTGAATTTCCTGTCTCCTGATTCCTACCAGGAATGACTTGTACCTCTGGGGACACCGAAACATTCTGCCTGGCATTATGTTATGAGTCCCTGTCCTAACTCTTCTCCCCGTTAGACTGGCACCTTCTTGAAGGCAAGGCTTGTGTCTTACTCATCTGTTATCATTGTAGGTCTTAAGAAGATGCCTTGCACATTTCCTGTACTGGTGCAATAAAGATACTTTGATCTGAGTTCACAAAGTTTCTCAGCATTTCCTGCTCATCCCCACCTCCTGGGCAAGAGCCTCTTGGCATGTCCAGCGTCTGAATTAGCCTTATGAGTCACTTTTACTTTTTTAAAAACAAAGCTCCCTGGTCACTCAGTTTGGTTTTGTTTTTGTTTTCTCCATCACCTGCAGCTGTCTCCTTTTTTTTCTCTGACGTGGCTCATGGATCCTTCACGGAGCAGTAACTGCTGGCTCCTTTTTTTCACCCATCCACCTTTCTCCACATTTTTCCTTTTCTCCCTCCTTTTCAGTTCTTTACTGTTTCCTTCTTCCTCCCTGCCACCAACCTCCTCTGACTTTTGCTGGGTTCTTTCATTTACTCATTCATTTAATGCATTTATTAAACACCTATGGCATATGCAGGCTGCAACGGGCAAGCACCTGAAGATCTACGAGATAATAAAAGAGAGGGATATGATTACCCATATTTAAAAGCCCCCCGCTAAAACAACCTAAAGCTTTCAGAAAATTACCCCAAAAGAACCCATTATGGAGTAAAATGTTCATATCCTTTTTACCCACCATCTCTACACATGATGTTTGACATCCCAGGACCCACCTTAGAGAATGCCCCTCTAGCTGGGTTTGGTTGACCAGTTTGACCCAGACCCCCCCCCCAAAAATGGGATTCTAGTCCTAGTTCCCCCACTAACTACCTGTAAGAACTTCTTAGGCCTCTGTTTTTTCACCAGTAAAATTCAAAAATTGGGTTTAATTAGTAGTTCCCAAGATATTTTCCAAAGAACGTGAATTTTGTGGAACTTTAATAGATATCATGAAAAATATGTGGGAGGGACTATTCCATAATCAAATCAACCTGTAAAGAAATTGTTTTAGTAAAGTTAAAGCCGGTTTTTGGGGGGGCCCCAACTCTTCTCAGTATTTTTAATAAGCTAATGAGCCTTGAGAATCTTGAAAGACCAGAGTAGGAAGCTAAGTAACACTCCCCAACCTATTTAAACACAGAGGTTTTTTTTCCGCAAGATATCCCAGAATCAGTGTTACTTAGAGACCAGTTTGGAAAATATAGATGACATCCACTATCATTAATATTCCTTCCAGGTGTATTAAACACTGGCCACCTGCAGCTTTGCTAAACATTAAAAAATAAGAAGCTGAAAAATAGAAAAGTATCCAAGTATCAGGAATTTTTGTCCATCAAATCAATCTGCAAATATTTATTATGTGCCTGTTCTGTGAAAAACACAGAGCTGATCCAGCTGTGTTCTTGGCAAAAGGCATTATGTTCTACCTTAGGGTAAGTAGTGTCTGAAGCATAGAGCTGCCCAGGCCTCTGGGCCACAAAGGGCACTTTCATTTCACATTTTAATTGCTCACAACCTGACTTTCTGTTTCCTAACGCCCTGTGCTTATGGGCTTATGAATATTTAGCTGTTGGATGAGAGAAAAGGAGGAAGCCCTTCATCTTAACTCATTCTATCCAGAATGATGGAAGCTCGACTTTTATTTTTAAGAATGACCCATTCCAATTTAGGAGAGGATGGGCCACCACTGTTGCCTAGGATGAGACAGCTGTTCAGAGGTGGCAACAGAAACCGTGCTGTGTGATCAGGTAGACATACATGATGTCTCTCCTCTTCCCCGTAGCCCTCAGGTTTATTGATTCCTCGAGGGACACCAAGAGTGTTTAATTTGTTAGGGTATATGGGGGTGTGAGGGTGGAGGGTAGTTTCTAGTTTTTGCCCCTTAAGACAGGTTACTGACTGCGTCTCTAGCTAGCTATGTTGCCTTGGGTGTTTCACTTCCTCTCTGGGTGGATTGAATGCCTCAATCTTGTACCATCAAAGGAGTTGGCTCCTGCAGGGAGTCTTGAAGGAATCAGTTCAGTTCTGACACTATGATGCTGGGCAAGGCGCTGGGAGGGCACCACCAGAGTCCTGGTAGTGGGGGACCAGAGATGAGACAGTTTGCCACTGGTGACAGGGAAGAACTAATCACCAGGCGTGGACAGAGGAACTATCACTCTCAGCCCAGGGGCTTTCTCTGAATACAAAACTTGGATAACCTCCCTTCCTGCCACCCCAAAGGCAACACTGAAGGCTGAGGTAGTATTGGAAGTACTGATGAGTTAATGTCAGTCAAAGACTTGGAAATGCACAGATGCTAGGCAAAAGACAAGCACCTCAAATTACCATTATTGCCCTCGGAACTTTCAAGGCCTTTTCATTCTTTGGGCAAAGCCCCATCTGAGAACACAAGTTTGTTAATAAGCTCTGTTCATGCCCTTGCATAAGATCGAGGAGAGGCCACCTCTCTCTGGGGACCGAGGGAAGCCTTAGCCCACTTCCTTAAGAAGAACTTTCAGATACCATTGTCGTTTGCAACATCTCCTTGAGCTGACATCTGCCTCCTAGTTCATCAAACCAAGGACTGAATTTTAGGAATTCCTATAAGGCACTGGATTGCTCTTTAGCAGAAATGGTAGAAGACATGGAACCTGCTCTGAAGAAAGAGAGAGTTGTGTAAAGAATTCTAATGATAATGATGATAACTGACATTTGTACTGTGTTTTAAGGCTCACTGAGCTTTTCACATATACTTTTACCCCATCCCTACGAGTAGACAAGCAGATATTACTCTCCCTGTTTTAGAGATGAGGAAAATGGGGCTTGAGTGGGTCACTGGTAATCATAGGACTTTTATGATAAAGGAAATGTGGGGATCCCTAGTCCAAACACTTCACTTACAAACAGAGACACCAAGGGGGCGCCTGGGTGGCTCAGTTGGTTAAGCGACTGCCTTCGGCTCAGGTCATGATCCTGGAGTCCCAGGATCGAGTCCCACATCGGGCTCCCTGCTCGGCAGGGATTCTGCTTCTCCCTCTGACCCTCTCCCCTCTCATACTCTCTCTCTATCTCATTCTCTCTCAAATAAATAAATAAATAAAATCTTAAAAAAAAAAAAAAAAACAGAGACACCAAGAACTTAAGTGAGTTGCTGAGACCCACACAGCTAGTTAGTAGCAGAGCCTGAGTGCAAATGAAGTCTCAGTGTCCCTTACACAGGCTAGGCAAGGCGGGGGGCGGGGGGGGGGGAGTCCAGATCTTCTAGTACCTAGGCCTCTACTGGATTCTTTCTGCCACTCAACTTTGAGCCTCTTGAATAAAAGTTAAATGTCTTAGCCATTTCTGGTCCCCTCCTCTACTATTAGAGAAGTCCATTTAAGGTCCAAGAAGTGAGAAAGGAAGGGGAGTGGTGGTAGGGGAGGCTTAGTATGATATTTAGAAGCTGTTGATGGGAACATTTTTCAAGAATCTCTTTCCTAGACTAAAAAATATAGACTAATGTGAAGCATAGTACAAAGAAGTAGACACAATATTTTTAAATAGTATGTACCAAGAAAAGCTAATAAGGTTTTACTTCCCCAATTCAAGTTTCGGGAGGTTTTCTTGGTGCATTTGTCTTTGGGTACTTGCCCCCCCGCCGCCCGGCCCCACCACCAAATTTCTCCTGCCACCTTAAGATGTAGAAACAAGCTAAATTGAGCTCAGGAACTACAACAGATCATCTTTTCCCCCAAAGCCCATATATTTT